GTAATCTATCGTGTGCCCCCCCCAATCCCTCCAAAGCAGTGCGCTTACACACACTAGCTACCGCTGAGGCGATAGGCATTCGCCTGTTCGCACCGAAACTATGTGTACAAAAGCGATTGGCTCAAGCTCTCCACTTACCCTGGTCCCAAATTGATCATCAACATCACCACCACCACCACCACCACTCCAATCACAATCAGTCTCACCCGGACACAGACACATAGAGCTTACCCCACCCCTCCCCTCTCCCCATCCCAAATGACCTTTCGACCCAGCGTGAAAATGTGTCCCCACTAACAACAAACCCTTATATGATCTGTACAGGAACGATTATGAATCAGTCGAAAACGCCTTCAAACTTGTGTTCTGATGTTACAATGGGATTATTTCGGAATATTACATTTATTTTATCTGTGAGTATGAAAAAACAGAACCGCATTTGGAATGTAATCGAATCGTTCATCGAAATTGCTTACATCTTTACCCGTTTCCACAAACTCTCTTTCCACACGGCAAACCATTTCAACCGATTCTCCAGGACCGTATCCGTAAACACGTTTTGGTATTTGCGCCAGGTCTATGAAGACAATAGCAATGAAAATGTAAATCAATTATTTGATTAATTTTTTCACTTCCAAACAATGCACCACAGCATGGGACCGCTGGTTTGAAGGAGAAAAGCCTTTGTTGACGTTCAAACTGAGTTTACTCTTATGCTCCCTGTCCGCGCAGCGCACCCCAATCTGCCTCCATCTTCTGTCGATCTATCGTAGCATACCTTTCTGAAGAATATCAACTTCTAGTGTCTCTGTTTAGCCATTTTCGATATTCAAGCAGATGGTTAAAACTTGGGGTTTGTCTTTCTTCAACAATGAAATGTCCAATAATGATCGGACCCCGCAGCCTATGGCAGTCCGAAGTCCATGGCCGAGCGAGAGAAAAAAAGTTCGTCTGTTCTCTAGAAGTTTTTCTGGATGCTTTTCAAAAATAAGTTCATTTTCACTTCTTACCTAGGGGAAATGCACCGTACTACTTATTTGGATGGGGAAGTTCAACCAGATTGATCTGTTGCGTCAGCTTGGTGAAACAGTTGGCAATATAGAGTGAATATCGTGGGTTCATCAATGCATTTATTACTATTTGTGATGAAAGCCTGCGAATACACGAGATTATTTTTAAGTAAAATATCAAGTATGTTAATTTGAACCATTCAGTTTCTTCTGTAAACAAGTACAAGATCCTAATGTGAATAGAAATAATTGGAAGATACTCACCTATTAGAGTAATCCTAAAACTGGCTTCTGTGATTAATGTAATTTACGTTTCAAGGTGCCTACAAGACATTAGGTTCTAAAATTACGGTATGTTCCGATGTTTACTACTAACAAGTGTGTTTCCAATATACTAATACTGATAGAATTTTCCAAGCGAACATTAGAAGGTAAGGTAAACTCTGTATTGATGAAAGTCACGACCTACCCACGGAGCCGATGGTTCGAACGGCAACCGGAGCCAAACTCATACTGGTTGAACCAATCACTTCACCTTGCTCCTTTGATGTCACTTCGCAACTGATCGAGTTATGAAGGGCGTCAGCATCGGACATTGCACCAAACATTTGCAGTTCCCGATAGATCTCCTTTCCATCTGCCACTGTTCCGTTCTGCGGGTCAACCCAACGGAACATCAGGGTTTGTCCTTCTGGTACCGGACCCTTCCAATCGCATTTCAGGAGAACAGTACTATTCTCTGAATCGCGTCGTGGCATGACGAGAATTGCGGGGCCAACTGGAGGTACAACGGAAACATGAATGTAGAAAATATGTGGTGAACTCTATACGGTAATCTGGTAAATTCGCAAAATTAGGGCATACCAGAACTTGTGCAAAGTTTATGCTCACAACTGATCAACCACAGGTAAAATAGAAGAGCAGCGTTGTATAAAAAGGCCTATTTCGTATTTACTCTACAACATGTTTACACAAACACCGAAAATAATTATTTTCCCGAGGCACTTAAACCAATTAAGCTATGAGCTTTTAGAAAGCTATCATTTCAACAGGATAGACAAACTCAGAGCTTTAATTAACACAGAAAAACGGTGATGTAATTTTTCAGTTCCTTTGAACTCTAGGTAATAATAACATTAGTAGTTGAATGAGGGAGAGGGGAGTGTGATCATGTCAGTCACGAACAGATCCTACTTTACGTTGCTTGACTGCTAACTGCCCAGCACGGGTATCGAAAAAATCGTTCATTTGCAACTAACTTGATTTTGGCTCGGGACGATTGGACTCATGCTGCAGACCAAGGACAGGGGTTAGATGTTAGTTACCTGCACTTCTCTGAAGCATTTGATAGAATAAATCATCAAATACTGATACGGAAGCTGTATAATTATGGAATCCGTTGACTCGTACTTGGCTGAATCGAGGAGTTTCTTCACCTACGTGCCATGTTAGTTCGTGTTTTCGATTCACTTTCTGATCCAATAGATGTCAAACGTGAGGTTCCACAAGGATCTGTACTAAGTCCACGTCTTTTCCTTACCAGATCCAGACGTCCTCGGACCACAAACTCTGCTGTTTTCGGACGATGCCAAACTATGGAGGACAATAACAAAATCAGAAGATTCATTTGATCTCCAGAACGCCCTTGACGAAGCCCACAGATGGTCTGTCTCCAATGATATGGAATTCAACGTTACCAAATGTAAAGTTTTATCACTGCGTCACCCTGGTCGTCATTCCTACACTCCCGGACACGAAACTCTGCCTCATGCTCCATCTGAGAAGGATCTGGCAGTAGTCATTCGCACAGACTTCATTTGATCCACAAACTGTTCCAAGGCATCGCCCATGGAGGTAAAACAGGTTGGATCGCTTAAACGTCATTTTGGATCATTTGAGCCGGGTTTGTTTCCACGTCTGTTAGCCACATATATCCGTCCATACACTGAGTACTCAATTCAGGCCTGGAACCCATGACTGCAGCGAGATCGGAAGGCAATTGAACATCCGCAGAGAATGGCTACCAAGATGGTCAAAGGTCGACATTCCAAGACCTATGATGAAAGATTACAGCTCTTGGGGGTATACTCGTCTCAATATCGTCAAATCGGAGGCGATATGATCTTACTGTATCAGATTTTCCAAAGCCCATCCATGTAGATCTCTTT